TTAAGCTGTTAACAGATGCAACAGAAAGAGGGGGCTTCGCCCTACCAGACATGAGATTGTACTACGAAGCAGCATGCCTGTGCTGGATAAAAGAATGGGTAAAGTTGGAGAATAAAGAGTTATTAGACCTGGAAGGGTTTAATAACAAATTTGGGTGGCATGCGTACCTATGGAGGGATAAAAAGAGAGTGCATAAGGGATTTTGTAGTCACATCTTTAAGGGTCCACTAATAGAGGTCTGGGACAGATATAAAAACATATTAGAGCCTAAAACCCCACACTGGTTATCTCCGTTGGAGATAATAAGCGTAAAGAAAGTCAATATGAGAGAAAAGTGGGGGAAGTATGGAGAAATGGTTATCAATGAAGGAGGGAAGTGGAAAGTAAAACCATACGATCAGGTTAAAATATTTACATATGATTGGTTGCACTACTTCCAGATAAATGAGATGTTTAAAAAAGAGGTGAAGGAAAGGGGCTATCAGGAAAAAGAATCGACATTCCAAAAAGAGATAATAAACAACAAATATAAAAACCTCTCAAAAATGTATAAAATACTGTTGGAGTGGAATTTGAAGGATGAGGAAGTGAAATCAGTGATGGTACAATGGGCAAGGGATTTCGGTTATAATGTGCAATTGGAGGACTGGGAAAAGTTATGGAAAGTGAATATAAAATTTACGGCTTGTATGTTACTTAAGGAAAATGTGATGAAGATGCTATACAGGTGGTATTTGACACCTGTAAAACTGGCTAAGATGTATAAGGTAGACAACAAGTGCTGGAAATGTAAACAAAAGGAAGGGACTTTTTACCATCAATGGTGGGAGTGCAAGAAAGTTAAAAGCTTCTGGGACGAAATTTACAATGAAATGAAAAAGCTGTTAAGTTATACCTTTGTAAAAAAGCCAGAAGCCTTTTTATTAGGTATTGTTGGAAAGGATATCAGGAGAAAGGATTGCAAACTCTTCCAGTATGCGGTAACGGCTGCCAGAATTGTGGTAGCCCAGAGGTGGAAGCAGGAAGAAATCCCAACGGTTGCAGAGTGGAGAGCAAAACTGTTAGAATATGCCGAGCTGGACAAATTAACAGGGAAAATAAGATACTCTAAGGATCAAAAATTTATTGAAGACTGGGGGAAATTTGTGGGCTATCTGGAGAACAAATGTTTTGTAAATACAACGCTAGTGGGATTTAAAGAGGCACTGTAAAGAACTAACAAGTATTGTTTAAGAGAAATAATGCACAAAGGGAGGAACGAATGGCAATATGAAAGGATGGAATGTGATTTAAAGATATAAATACGAATGAATGTCAATGACGCTGAAGGAAGTTCAAAATGTATGAGAAGTGTTGAAACATGGATATAATGTATAAACAATGAAATCAATAAAATTTTAAAATGCAAAAAAAACCAAAAAAAAAAAAACAAACCGAGTGCTTCATCACAAATGCTCCCTTGCCTGTGGGCTTGGAATGCAGGAGAAAAAGCACCAAGCAAAAGTCTTTTTTGTGTAAGTGCTCTAAAACATGAGATTTCATACCTACATGGGCAGTACCATATGGTTCCCCCCCCTTGAATATTTACAGCCCAGTCAATGCATGCTAACTCAAAATTCACTCTCATTCTGTTCAATGGGGCATCATCCCAGTAAGCATATTTAGCACAGGAAGTTTCCTTATCAGACCATTGATTCATCTAGCAGCAGCTTTCCAGGGGGTTCAGAGGGGGGTCTCTCCCAGCCCTCCCTGGAGATGCTGGGGTTGAAGCTGGGACATTCTGATGCAAAGCAGATGCTCTGCAACTGAGCTATAGCTCTTCCCTTCAGTGACATTTGGGTGTGTTTCAGTCCTGTGTCTGACTCTTTGCTGAAGGAGTGTCTCCATCCCCATCGTTCAGCCCAGACACTGTGGTCCAGCTCCAAGGGCCTTCTGGCAGTACCCCCATTGCGAGAAGTGAGGTTACAGGGGACCAGGCAGAGGGCGTTCTTGGTAGTGGTGCCCGCCCTGTGGAACGCCCTCCCATCAGATGTCAAGGAAATAAACAACTATCTGACTTTTAGAAGACATCTGAAGGCAGCCCTGTTTAGGGAAGTTTTTAATGTTTGATGTTTTATCGCTTAAAAAAAAATATTATTAATATTCTGTTGGGAGCCGCCCAGAGTGGCTGGGGGAACCCAGCCAGATGGGCGGGGCAGTGGCGTAGCTACATGCTCTGGCACTGGGAGCGAAGAGCAGGTGGGGGTGGGGCTGGCGCGTGTCCTGGGGGGGCGTGTCACCCGCAGGAGTGTAGTGCACATCCTGGGGGCGTGGTGTGCGTTCTGGGGGCAAGGTGCCCAGCGCGCGCGCGCGGGGGGGGGGGGCAGCTGCAATGGAACCCTACTGGGATTGCGCTGCCAGGGGTGGTGCACTCCCCCCACGCCCTTCTTCCTCTGCCAGTGGGGTAGGGTATAAATAATAAATTATTATAATATTATTATTAATTTCTTTCCCATGATAGCCACATGATAATCCTACCTACTCCCACCCCAAGCATATTTTGCCCCAGGAAGAATGAAATGTAACAACAAGAACATCCTCCTCATCTAGCAGGTTTAAAGCAGAAATTACGGTGAACCAAACATTGACATTTTGCATGTTTGAATACATACCGTTAAAAAAAGTGTTCAGATTTGGGATGCAACCATACATTCAGCTGCACATTGTGTGGTCCCCATTTTAAGGGGGGGGGAATATTACTAATATTCCTAAAAATGTTACTGCTGTCTGAAGTCTTTTCTGCTCCTTTCTTTATTAGAAGGGAATGGAGGCAGAGTGCATGGCTTCAGATCAATGGCACCAGGATATCTTCTAAATGCCCTTGTAATTACAATAATATAACCAGTGTTGCCTGAAGCTGGGAGATGAAAATGATAAATAAGGCACCTCTCTGGCAGAGTGATGCAGTGGAAAGTCACAAAAAGATTTTTCAACTTCAAGCCAGCTGCTTCTGCTTCTTTTCTTTTCCCCCTTGATGTAATTAATATCAGTGGGACCTGAACTGCAGAGAACCCTGTGGCGAAAATTCTCCTTTAACAAGTGCTTTGCATACATTTATTGCCCGTGTTGCCCAAACTATGCATTGTTTTCAGTGCGTCTGGCAACTAAAACAACACAACCTCCAGTCTTCCGATTGAAAACGTTGTTTAAATGGTTTTACCTGTATTCTCTTTGCCTTCAAGTTATGAGCAGGACTGGGTGAGGTTTGTCCCCTGGTCTAGCCCAATAGGCTTGGAAGTGTGCAAGAAAGTGCTTGCTCTCCTTGCCCACCCAACTTGTCTACAATTGTCCTTACACATCTTTGGGTGTGTGTGGGTGTATATAAAATTGAGAGCAAACATGCCAAATATCCAATGGCCAGTTACTGGGATTTGTTTTATGGAGACCAACTTTATTTTGCCTATGCCCTTTGGATTTTACATGCACAAGGTGTATTTCAACCCCACATGGGCATGGGGAGACATCTAGAGTAGGGCAGATACGCAAGAGAAGTGGGGAGCTGGAGTCAGCTTTCTCTCTTTCCATGGAGTGGGCTGGACTCAATGGGAGCTATCCAATCTAGCCCAAAGTCAGTTTTAAAAAAATAAAAATAAAATAGGGCTATCTGAGAAACATGCATATGTACAATCATATGCATAGAATCATAGAACTGGAGAGTTGGAAGGGACCCTGAGGACCATCTAGTCCAGCCCCCTGCAATGCAGGAATGTGAAGCTGTCTCATATGGGGATCAAACCTGCAACCTTGGTATTATCAGCATAGATGAGCTATGCATGACATGGGATATATATTAATGCAAAATCTGGTGCTGTATATATGCTTACAAGGGGTTTTATTGTGTTTTTATATGTGCTGGAAGCTCATATAATTTCATCTTGAGCAGCTGTGGAAAGGGTGTGTGTGAATCTTTTAAACGAATAGATAATAAATCTGTCTCTGACATTTGCTGAGAAAGACTTGTTGATCTGCTTTTCAGATCTGAATATCAGGATTGTGTTCGATGGTGCTGGGTCATCTTGCCTGCAGGATTAATAGGGCAGTTTCTTTGCTCAATGGGTCACCAAAGAGGGTTTAATGCCACGGATATGAAACACACCTACAGGGCGAGATTGCAAAATTGAGGACTTTGGAATTTTCAGTTGATGTTGAAAACCTGAAAAGGAACTTTTGTGCTAGAGAAAAGCTATTTAGAAATAGTTTTGTTTTGGCTGTGAGCACACTTTGAATCCGGAACAGTGTGTGTGTGTGTGTGTGTGTGTGTGTGTAATATATAGTGAAAACTCGAAGCTGCGAACATGAGTTTGACCAAACTGCGGGAGGCAGTGGAAGACAGGAGTGTCTGGTGTGCTCTGGTCCATGGGGTCACGAAGAGTCGGACACGACTAAACAAGAAGAAGAAGAAGTGGAAAAGGAGCTTCAAACTAGTTTAGACTGGCAGATTTGGATCTTCAGATCTGCTCAAAAAGCAAGCTCTGATATTAAGATGGCCCCTGGCTCCAACAACTCTCTCTCTCTCTCTCTCTCTCTCTCTCTCTCTCTCTCTCTCTCTCTCTCTCATTTTCTTTTGGGTCTTAACTATGTTGCTGCCACTATCATCATTCTGGCTGTGTATTAGGAAAAGGAAAAAAGAGGCAACACAGACGCTGAATTATGTGCAGACCTGTGTCGAGCCATGGTCTCCTGAACAACATGCCCCACTCCCAATTAACCCCATGCTCCTGAATTTCCAAATAACAGAAAGTATTCATAGTTTTATCTTGCACCCAACATAATACTCTCTGAAACTTTTTGCACGGAGAGTGTTTGCTCCTTTCCAACAGACATTTTATGAGAGCGAGAGAGATTGGAAACAGGGAAGAATGTGGACTCACCAGTCAATGGAGCCCCCTAGTGAATATTAAGTGGAACGTATCCTTTGCATCATTCTGAGGCTTCTCATTGTACAAAGAAGAGCCAAAACATTCTGCTGAGTTTTGCTTTATTGAAGATGTGTGCTGGAGACAGTAGCATCACCAGGAGCCCAAAGCGGGGAGGGGAGGACAGCAGCAATGACAGCTCACACCCCTACATAGAGCTTCTCTAAGCGTTCACCAGTACAGTGTAGAATATGACATCTTAGTGTTCAGCTGCAACAGTGAAACCTTCAAGAGCATCTTCCCATGTGCAGGAGACCGAGACTCCCATTACTTTTCCTAGAAAAATAGGATTTACATATGTAAATTAAAGCCATTAGTCTGTGAAGAAACAGGATTATACATGGCAGGAACTGATAAGTAGACATACCAGTCTACTTATGGAAGGCCAAGTTCAGAACTTTTAAGGAAGAGAAAATTCCTGACTTAATTTTCCTTCACTTCTCATGTTTGATTTGTAGGGATCCTGATTGTGAGATGCTGAAATAGTCTTATTTTGTACCTATATCATACCCTCCAACATGTTGAGGCCAAAAACTGGGACGGGCATCTTCCCGGCTGCATTCCTGCACGGTCCATGTGACATCAGAATAATGTGCGTTTTTGGGCGCCCTACTGAGAGCAGGGCACCCAAAAATGGGATGTCCTGATTTAATTGCTATATGTTTATTGAGAGGAATAGCAGTAAGTAAAAACAGACCAGTCCATTTAACAGCAGGAGACCCCCTTGACTGTCAATAAGGACCAGTGCAGGCCCAATACCACAGGAAACTCAAGCAACTGTTAAGGGCAGCGACATTTTTAGGGATGCCAGTCAAACAGTGCACAATCTGAAAGATGCATCTTTCACATATCTATTTTTTCTCTACATCACAGCAACACATTTTGTGTGCCAAAGCTAAACTCTGACTCGTGCAAAAATGATACCAATAGTAGAAATGGGCATTATTTTGTCTGCCAATTCTGGTGAGGGGCAAAGAACTCCGCAAGGCACCGAGCCTCACCTTATCATGACTGGAAAGCCTTCTTGACTCCCATTTCACCTCATCTTGACTGTGCATTCAAGGGCCAGAAAGCTGTATCACATCATACACTGACTGTCTCTCAGTCCTGCTATGATAGGGAGAGTTGTCACCAACAGCTTGGAAGGAGCCAAACAACTCCCTCTTTTAATCCTCTTGTAGCTGATGCATCATGCTGGGAAAACTCCCCTACCTTGTTTGCATAGTTATACATCCTCGTAAAGTCTTAACTCATAGAACAGCAATCTCTTGTAAAGCCAGGTTGGTTGGTTGTTGTTTTTTAATACCAGTGGGAATCTCTCTGATTTGGCTCTAATATAGTCTCAGAAGATCACAGGTACATTCACTTGTTGAATGCTTAAATGTGCAAACCCTATTCCAACACCGTATAGAGGCAAATTTCTTCCTGACTTCAACAAGAAACTAATTCCTAGCAAGGCTGGATTCATTGGGGGTCTCTGGGCAGAAAGTTGGTGGAAACATAACTTCCATAAAAGGAGAGGACATGCAAATCTTGAAAATAAGTTTCACTAACTGTAGCATAGGGGTAGCCAACTTACAACAGAGAACATACATCAGTCAGTGGACATTTTTTCAGTCCCCAAGCCTGGAGCTGACCATGAAAGCAACATAACAGTTATACTTTCATCCGCTGTGCGTATAGAGCTCTCTTCAATATACTTACTCAACTGCCTTGCAAAAAGCACACTTGTTTCCGTAGGTCTGGCCATCTGTGCCGCAGTGAGGGTTAGATTCCCTGGTGCAGTATGGTTCATTGTTATCAAACTCACTGCAGTCAATAGCCTAAAGGGACAAGAAACAGCCTTTAAGTGATAGTTTTCTTTATAGTTCAGAGGTGCCAGATTCTCAAGATGACTGAGGGGGCCTGACAGGATGTCGCATGATGTCCTGATGCCGCGTATGTAATGTTGCATGGAGCTAGGGGCAGAGCCAACTTCCATCTGAACACTGAGGGGGCCAGCTTCCTAAAAAAAAAAAAAATAGTCCCCTCCCCCCGAAACTGCCTTGATCCCTAGGAATCTGTGCCCATGGTCCTATTAGTCCTGCCATTTTGTACTCATGACAGAAACACGGGCCATTCCACATACCAGCTTAAACAGTTTTATAACAGCCAATTTTGAATCAGGATAGCCTAACCAATGTTGTGCATGCCCCTTAAAATTGCTTGCCTTGATCAGAAAACTTGGCAGATCTATGTTCTATTTGCCCCTTCCCCAGATGCTAACACAAAGGGAGAGGACAGGTGTGTAGGACCATGGGACTGGCGAACAATCCCTTTCAGGGTCAAGATAGGACCTCTTCTCTTCACAGCAACCTAATAGTAAGTCTAGATGTGAAATGGGGCCATATACAAGCAACATCCCAGGAGGAAATAAAAACAGCTGCACTGACCTCTCCCTCACGTTGACTGGTAACATCTGTAACAGAAAGGAACAGCAAGGCTTACTAACATATTATAGAACTAATACCGAAGGAGTAATAGAATCAGAATATTGTATGTATTTATAAACTGCACTTTATAAACTTCACTTTCATGAAAATATGACAGGGCAGTGTACACCATACAAAATTGCAAGAGGAGCAAGAAAAGAATACTGCAATTGCTGCTCAAAGTTTCCCTCAAGTTAGAAAGACTGTCATTATTAGGTACACATAATATTATACAAAAATGTATTTATTTGCTTTATTAAGATTTTATCCTCTCCTTACTTCCAAAGGAGCCCAGGGTGGTATAAACATTAAAAAAACAAACCAATCCATTTAAAACAGCCATATAAAAGTACAATCAGTAAAACTGTTTAATCATGTTGTCGTACGTGACCACTAAACCGTACTTGGCTTGGTGTGTGCCAAGTTGTACAGATCTGCATAAATCTTACTTGTATTCCCAAGAGTGCGTGGATGTCAATCTGTCTGATCAACTCATTGGGTATTGTAAAAGAAAACAATGAGGAACAGCAGTTATGTCAGATATGGACACCAGAATCTGGATAGCTGAAGTTTACACAGCTTACAGTCTTATATAGGTGAAATGCTCAGGTGATGATGCTTTCAAGTAAGAATTGTCTTATCTTTTAATATCCCTACTGGTGTTGTCAACAGAAGCACAATTCATTTTACAACAAGTGGTAGAAGGAAAATATTCTGGTACACTCTGGGATAGCACCTCTCCCTCTTGGGAGCAGTCTTTTATGGAGACTGAGGCTGTTTTTTAAACACTGGAGTCCTCCTTTTTTCTCACTTACCTGAGAAGAAGCAGAATACAGCCAGGCTCAGCAGCACAAAGACACCTGCAGTTTTCATAATGCTCCTATAAGTTGGGTTCAAGTCAAGCGGATGGGTTGTCAGTGCTGAAACTCAGGGGAAGCTCTGACCCATCAAACTCTCCATTTATTTATATGCCCAGCACAGTAGGCCCCACCTGGTGAGAAAACATCTTCACCTTCTTTTAAGAGCAACCATTGGCCCAAGACACCAGCAGATGTTTATGGGGTTGTCACATCCTTTAGGCATGCTGCTATATCCACAACAAGCCCAGACTACAACAATAATTATGCGAGGCACTCCTTGGAGCTTGTAATTTATCCATCAATTGCTACTTTCCATTTCCTCCCTAATCATAGCCTTCTCACAGCTTGGAACTTCCCAGCCAGTCACCCAGCAGGGCAACAGCACTGGTGACATGGGATTCTTACCAAGTCCTTGCAGTGTAGATTCAACGTGTTATGAGTTGTTTCTTAATGGGCACAGGAAAGATAATAATAGAAGGATTGAGATTTGGAGGACATAATGGCTCCAACACAGCTTTCTATTTTGGAAGCAGAGTCTAAATTTGTTCACGAGAAGTGTTGGGAGAAGGCAATATAAAAGAGCATGACTTCATTGCTGCTTGTGGAGTCTCATAGGTTACATGTGCTGCTGCTGCTGCTGTTGACACTCCTTTGGACTATTTAGACTATGAATGTCAGTTTTGTTTTTTCAATTCTACAAAGAGATAAAAGGACGTTATAGGTTTGTTCCTAAACAGGGAGTCCCTGTGGTCCAGCAGGGAAACTCAGAATGAACCACAAATGGTAAGTTGTAGACCCAGATTTGCTACTCATGCTTTGGATGGTCACAATGTAGGGTTGTTTAAAATAAAATAAAACTCTGAAGCTCAGCATCCTCACTGGATAGAATGGCACAGCAACCTTCATCGGCCTGGTGCTCTCCAAATGTTCTAAACTACAACTTTCATCAGCACTAGGCACCATTGCTGATTGGAGGGAAGTCCAGAACATCTGGAGGACTCCAGGCTGGGGAAGAATACATGATGGTACTTAAGGAATACCTCTCCCCTTACTCCCCTTACACATTTTGGTTGTCTTGATGTGTGACTTATGTCAAGTGTAGGGTGGCCTATTTTATGGAGGACTGCCCTGCACTTGGAAGGCTGATTTATCTTCAGTCCTGGGAAGATGGTTTCAGCAGATATTTGGGGGAGATTACTATATTTGAAGGTGACTTCTATTTTTGAAGGGTTGTTTAAAATCGAACCTTTGAATAAATATTGGCAGGGTGAATTTTAACATGGATCCTTCCTGTTCAACAAAGAATATCCATTGTAATGCTTGTGGCAGATCAGAAGACTCATGCTGTGACTCAGATGTCGAGCAGTGCACACTTTGCATATAACATACATTATACTGACACTGAAATGAATGAAGCTGGATTACAGCAAGGACACTGAAGGTGTTTTATGTGGTTCTTAGACGGCAAGATCAGTCTGCAAAGTAAGGCTCACCTTACCTAGCTCAAAAGCAAATGTACAAACAATTTAGGTTGCAAAACATGTACGGTATAAGCAGGGCAATCAGTGCAGGATTAAACCTTGTGGTGGCCCCTAGGCAGTTGAAATCTCGGGGAGCCCTTTGCAAATTATCTCCTAATGTGTGTTTGTAATTTTATTTCGAGATCAAATCAATGTTATGTTGATCCATTGTAGTGGGACCCCTAAAATGTGTGGGACCCATAGGTAATTCTGCCTATTTGGTAATCCGGCACTGAGGACAATCCACTGGGAGTTTCTCTTGCTTGAGTTCCACTGCAATGAATGGGAACTGTGCTAGAACATTACTGCCTCCTTCCTCATCTCCCATTCATTTCAGCTGGAACTGTGCAGGGAAACCATCGCTGTGTCCCCATTACCTCATACCTTCCAACATTTCTCCAATGAAAATAGGAACATACTAAGTAAAAGTGGGACATTCTGGGATCAAATCCGAAACTGGGAAGGCTTCTGTAAATATGGGACTGTCCCTGGAAGATAGGGACCCTTGGAGGATCTGTCACCTAGAATGGATTGCCGCTATCAGATTCACTGAACTACTGGCCTGTTGTGCTCATATTGTCCACACCAGTTTTAAGTCATAGGTAAAATATCTTCTTGATATTAGGGTAATGTTTCAAGGAGCCTAGAAGCCAAAGAGGGCCACCTAAATGAACAAATCTGACTTCCAAAGGCTTAATTAATTCAACTTAGTACTGTTATGGTTGGTAATATGAATTGCTCAGAAGAGCAAGGCTGAGTTCTTATCATCTCAGAGTTCTTCACCCAGGGACTCTGCATAGATGAACAAGGAATTCAAGGGTGTGTTAAGCCACTCTATCCCCACTTTTTATTAACTTGTGAAAGGAGAATGTGCTCTGTCACTGGACACTGCCCCCCCCCAAGCCAAAGTAGAACCTGTGGGCTTTCTGAGTATATCTGGCTGACCATTGCAAACACTCCAACATCCTGAGTCCCAAAAACAGGGAAGCACGACTTCCTGCCTGTATTACCGCATGTGTCACATGACCCACGTGAGATCACAGAGCCCAAAGACACGGTTTTCCAGAGCTGTGCTCACATGTTGCCCCAAAAAAGTGCATTTGGGGGCAACACACGAGATCATAGAATCTTAGAGTTGGAAAGGACCCAAGGGTCATCTAGTCCAACCCCCCGTAATGTTGGAATCTCGGCTAAAGCATCCATGACAAATGGCCATCCAGCCTCTGCTTAAAACCTCCAAGGAAGGAGAGTCCACAATCTCCCAAGGGAGTCTGTTCCACTGCTGAACAGCTCTTACTGTCAGAAAGTTTCGAATGTTTAGTCAGAATCTCCTTTCTTGCAGCTTGAAGACATTGGTTCAAGTCCTACCCTCCAGAGCAGGAGAAAACAAGCATGTTCACTCTTCCATGTGACAGCCCTTCAATATTTGAAGATGGCTATCATATCTCCTCTCAGTCTCCTATTTTCCAGGCTAAACATACCCAGCTCCTTCAAGCACTCCTCATAAGGCTTAGTTTCCAGACCCTTGATCATCTTGGTTGCCCTCCTCTGTACACATTACAGCTTGTCAACATCCTTCTTAAATTGTGGTGCCCAGAATTGGACACAGTATTCCAAGTGTCTGTTGATCTGGACACTATAATTCTGTTGACGCAGCCTAGAATAGTGTTAGCTTTCTTTGCTGCTGCATCACACTGTTGATTCATGCTAAGCTTGTGGTCCACCAAGACACCAAAATCATGGCCCCAGGAAAAGCACCAGGGGGTGGGGTGGAGAGAGAGATCAACATGAAATTGTGTGAGATCTCAGCACCCAAAATGGCCTTGCTTACTTTTGGATGAAAATCTAACCTTTCTGTTGTTAGGTGTGGGAAGGGTGTGGCTTTGATGCTACTTTTTAAGTACTTTGAAGGAAAAGAATGATCTTAGAAGAGAACAATAGACATCCAGTCATTCAGTTTGATGTGCAAAAAGCACTTCATGAGTGACATGTTCCCAAACTGGAAAAGATGAAAGAAAGGAGCTATAGGCTGATTTAAATGTCATCATGTGTATGTATGTACAGCTTGTGTATATATAAAACACACACACACACACACATATATATATACACACCCAGTTGGTTTCAAGGGATGAGAGGGGGGAAATGTCCTCCCCTGTCCTCTCTGAAATGTAATTATTGCTGCTGGGCCAAATGTCTCTTAAAACATTTGGTGAGATGCTGTGATGCTCAGAAGAAACTTAGGACCAAGCCTTTTATGATAAAAAATCCCATCAAATCTGAGCCAATCAGAGTAGATTGTAAAATTCAAAATAATTTTCCTGTGTGTCTTTAGGAAGCCCTCAGGAGAGGAGAATAGATGATGAAGCACAGGGGTAGGCAACCTAAGGACCGTGGGCCGGATGCGGCCCAATCGCCTTCTCACTCCGGCCCACAGATGGTCCAGGAATCAGCATGTTTTTACATGAGTAGAATGTGTGCTTTTATTTAAAATGCACCTCTGGGTTATTTGTGGGGCATAGGAATTTGTTCATTCCCTCCCCCCCCAATATAGTCTGGCCCACCACATGGTCTGAGGGACGGTGGACTGGCCCATGGCTGAAAAAGGTTACTGGCCCCTGATTGAAGCACAATGCAAGAGAATTGTTAACAGATGAAATATATATTACCAAGGAATGCTGTGCAGGACCCGGATGCTTGGCTGTGTAGGTGCAGACCCATGCAGAGCTTGTCTGATTCCCGGGGTGGGAGTCCCCAGTCGGTTTGGAGGCACAAGGCATTCTTGGCATGACAGTCTAAGTCCAGCAGGCCCCTGTCTGTGCCCCCAAGGTGCCCCTCAGAGGTCTGGGGCAAGTGTACCCAGCTGACCCCTACACCCAACTGTGTAGATGTCTGTTCCAATATCATTCTCCCAGTGCCTGCCGAAAGCAATTGTGATGAGGAAAATAATCAAAACCTGAAATAGTGGCCAGGATGATATACTATATATTGATCTGGTATAGACATATTCCTAAATGTAAAATGATTAATCCATGCCTGATTAGTTCTACTTTGCCATAAAAAGCAGTGCTGGTGCATAGTTTCCATATCTTTTCTTCCCAGCCATCGAAGAACAAACCATCTATTTTTGCTGACCTGTAATTTCTGTAAAATAACCTCCATGCCTCCTCGTTATGAGGACAGGGAAGCCTTGGTCAGAGATGCTTCAGAGACACACCTGAGCCCAGAAGAATAAAGGTATTATATTAGAAAGCTGCCCTGGATTATTATTATTTTTTCCATGACACGCTTTGCATTGTAATACATGGGATATAGGCTCCATCCATTTCACAAAGTGCCTTCCGTTTCTGGGATATTTCATAGAATAAATGTGAAACATGACGGCAGCAAGAATGCTATGAATGTCAACAAGGCCCATAAAACAAACTGCTTTCGGTTTTTATGAAATCTCTTTCATATTTTCAAAGCTTTTCGACATTGAAAGCGGAAATAGTGCATGAGAATACTGCTGCTGCTGCTAACAACAACAACACTCTGAAAGCATCCATGGGGAACTCAATTGCTCAGCTGATCCCTGCAGAAAGCAGGTATGAA